AAGGTCAAGAAAGGATCCAGGAGAAAGAGTGAGAGAGGAATATCTTGGTGGTATGACTGAATGAAAAATATTAAAGAAAGAAAAAAAGTAATTTATTATATGCCTGTTGTTAAACTTTGCTTTAACAGGAAAAAAAATAACTGAAAATTATGGTACCAAGATAAAATGTATCAAAACTTGGAAATTTTATTTTTTTAATCAATTTCACCCCATGCAAGACAGTAGAGCCACTAAGACACAAGTGGTTTGGTTACTGGGTGTAGAGGAATTAGAAACAGAAACATTACTAATGAGCGGGAACAAAAAGAATAACCAGGAGGACAGTAGACAGCAATTAAGATTGCATTTAAATTTTTGAAGATTAAACTTGGCCGGAAAGCATGGAGCCAGAAGAGAGGGAGTTCTATAAGCAAAAAGTGCAAGAAAGGAAACTGTTAGCAATGAACTTATGGCTACATCTAGCCAGCATAACTGTAGATGCCAGTCTAGTACTGCACTTAAATTTAAAAAGTCTAGGTACCATAGCAAAGAGCTAATTTGAACAATTACCATAAAAGTATTTATAGAAAAAACATAGGGAGTTTACTTTATGGTGGTAGGAAAGTGACTGAATCAGGAATATTATATTATAAATAATATTGCTGATTCTTCTTTGGATTTTATCAAGGAGCTCAGGGTAAATAGCAGGAGCACTTGACCATATGTGGCAGTAATATTCTAAGCATGGGGAAATGGTAGACTTATAGATATTTATAAATATAAATGACAATAGGAAAACTGTAGTTATTGCTGACACGTTTCGTCCAATGTGGACTTTCTCAAAGCAAAAAATGAAATGAATTTAATTAAAGAACGTAACTAATAATAACAAAAAACAGAATGTCCTTAGCAACTGGAGGAATGTAGAGAATGCTATTTTCATATTGTTAACTGAAAATAACGTCAGTTGTTGTCACGTGTGGAGAATATTGTCATTATAACTGTGTTGGCGGATTCAACCATTTTCTTTTGATTTTACGAGATTGTTGTGTATGTTTGTTTGGGAGAGCAGTAATTTTGTTAAGAAAGGTGAAATAGGGACAAAGCTTGGGTGCAGATTAATATTTGGGTAATATTCACACTTATAGATATGCATGATAGTTTCTGGAAAGAAAATTGTCTTGCATGACAGGGTGAACCAAAGTTTGGATGCTTCAGTTGTTACTTTAGAGATAATATTAAGTGGGTACGAGACTAACTGAAAGAGGACCTTTTCCTTTGCTTTAAAGCCAGTTTCAGAGATAAGTATTTCACATCTCAATTCTGAATTTGACCATTAATCAGAGAATCTTTTTGTATTGAAATTTATCTGATGTAGTTGTATCATGGTATGGAAAATAATGAAAAATGAGCTGCTTGATTTATTAGATTTGATGGATTCATTTTCTATGGCTTATCAACCCTTTGCAAGTTATTTTAAGTCACAAAATAATTTTAGATCATAAGATTTCTTTTTGAGGTAATAATGGTTTAGTTATACAAGTCTTACTAATTAACCACTAGCTGGAGGGGAGAAGAGGTGTATTCATAACTAATCAGTTTGATGAACAAATGAGAAATTATAATGTGGATATAGAGTGGAGGATCAATTTTATATTACAAGCAATATATAAACTGATCCCTCACTTTGTGGCCACGGTAGTTTCTATATATTTATATCCCAGAGAGCATAAATAAATCTCAAAGACATGCCAGTATTTTATTGGCTGATTCATTTTCTACAGTTTATCATCCTTTTCACGTTATTTAAAGCCAGGAAATATTTTTAGATCATAAGATTTTTTTTGAGATAATAACGGTTTAGTGATACAAGTTTTACTAATTAACCCATAGCTGGCGGAGAAGATGGATTCCCAAGGGTATTTGCATGTAAGTGGATATAATGAACCCAACAGGAATTGGAACTCTGAGCCATTATCTATCGCAACACCCACACATCCAAGCTTACAGCACCTGATATATACACTATACATAGGTGAATTTTTTCTGGAGGGGTTAAAATTCATACAAAAAATTCAGGGGTAGCACTATACAAGAAGCTGGCTTTTATATGAGTATATATGCTAAGACAATTTGAAAAACTCTTATTTTGACATGTTTTACTGATCAAACAGAATCATCAGAAATATGGATTCTATTTCAACCAAATTTATATTGGTGACACAGAATGTGAATCACATTAGTCATATGAATGCTGGATTTTTTTCTTTTTTTACTTTAACTGTATTGTTTTTTAATTAGATTTTACTTATATCAACTCAGTTTTTATTTATATATTCATTTTTCATATCCCACATTGTTTCAACACCAGTTTAGTAAGAAGAGGGTAGGCTGAAAAAGCCTGATCATTTATTAACCACAAGGGATTCATAGTTCATGGTACTTTCAATGCATCTTCATTTTTTTTAAAGTAAACTGATGTTGAAACAAAATGGGATAAAAAAAAATAATCATAAAACAAATGAATATATATTGAATTTTATCTTGGAAAGTTTTATCATAGTATGAAAAATAATGAAATGGCATTTGGAAAATAATGAAAAATGATCTGCTATCATCATCAGGGCAAGAAGTTGGAAGAAGCTGAAGAAAAATAATGAAAAAGAAAAGTAAAAGAAACAAAAAGAAGTGATGAAGAATAAAAATATTCAGAAAGGAGCAGAGAAGAAATTGAAGGAAATTGTGCAAAAGAATGAATCAAACAAAATGATGTCAAAGAAGAAATTGAACTAATAAGATGTTTTACTTCTCAGTTCAAAATTTGACCATTAATTATAGAATGCTTTTGTATTGAAAATCATCTTGATGGTTGGTTGTTTGTCTTTAGTAAAATATCAATCTCTATGGGTTATTTAATGCTGAAACCTAAATATTTTGCACACAATTTTTTTTTTGGAGGTAGGGAGATAATAATAGTTTTAGTGATACAAGTCTTACTAATTAACCCATAACTGGGGAAAGAAGAGGTGGATTCATACCTTTCACAAGGGTACTAGTGTGTAAGTGAATATAATAAAGCCATTGGAAACTGGAATACAGATCTCTGATTAAAAATTCCGAGATATGAACATCCATTAAACCATCCATACATCCAAGCTTACAGCACCTGGTATTCCCAAATGGTCATCCATCTAGGTTTTGACCAGGCTTGACATTGCTTAACTTAGGTGATCATACAGGAACAAGGTGATATTGTTGTAAGTGATCATCCTGTGAAGGCGTATCATAGTATGATAAATAATAAGATGATATTGCTAAAATAATGAAAAATGATCTAGACATACATATAATAGGACATTGTACAAATAAGCATCTAGCATTTTAAAATTCTTTCCACATTGCACAATTGCTTTAAAATGTACAGATTTTATAAACAAACTCACAACAAAAGATTGATTTTTATGGTTGCAGTTTAAATTCTATTTGTGTATATCATAAAAAAGTAATTCTTTAGAATTATTTTTTGGAATCTTTTAATTAAAGATTTCATTGTAATATTGGTTAAGTATCAGTATTCATGAATTTCTCATTGTTATGAACAATTAATGAATTACTTCATTAAAAAAACCAAAAGAAAAAATGCAAGAGTAATACAAGTAAAACAAAAAATGTCATTGGGAATACGAAAAAGAAAATCTAACAATAGATAAAATAAAATATTGAAAAATTCTTCAATAGTATGATTAAATAATATACAGTATAGAGAAAATGAAAAGAAGAAAGCTGGCAATAGATGAATGGTTCAGGATCAGTGTTGATTGAAGAATTCTTCAATGGAATGACCAAATGATAGAACTTATGGAGAAAAAAAGAAGAAAGGCAAGAATTGATGGAATGGTAAAGGATCAATCTTGATTATTGCTGGCCAACAGGAAAATATAAAAGGTTTAAAAAGAAAAGAGAAGAGTAAAGCATGGCAAAAGATAGAATGATAGGTAGAGGAAGTTGAGTGTAAAAATGATAGAAGTTGATTATCTGGACTCGTCATCTTGATTATTGGCATTTGACAAGGATAAAAAGCTGATATGACGAGCTTGTCGGGGAATTAGAGTGGCCTGGATTGTCAAGCTTGATTCCTACTACTGGATCACTTTATTCTGTGGTTTGGGAAAAGAAGATTAGTACAACAAGCAAGACTGGTTGAAATATAGAAAAAGGAACTCTTTTCATGCAGCGGAAAATGAGTGAAAGAGGGTGGAATGGTTATGAACAGTACCAAATAAAAGTGACTTGCATTCCTACAGATTTGATTGTTTGGAGGCTAAAGTTCAATTGATAACAAGCAAAAATAATACATTTTTGTTTTTTCAATGCTAGTGGAAAAATTTAAAAATCACTGAATGAGAAAAAAAATTGATGGAGAATGAGAAACAAAAGGTAGAGAAGAAGGAAAAGAAGAAAGGTTAAGTAAGAGGCAACTAGTGAAAAAAAAAGGATAAATAAATAAAAGAATGGCTGAAAAAATGGTGTATTGAAAATAATAGGGAGTGGGGTGATTAAAACAGAAATGAAAATGAGAGAAAAAAGTTTAAGTAATCTAACAGTGAATAAGAAAAATATTTAAAAGGGGAAAAAAAGGATAATAAAAAATGAATGTTTGAAAAAAGAAGAAAAGAAAAGTAAGTTGAAAGACAAGGAAAAAGACAAAATGGAAATGGAAGAAAATTTAAAAAAAAAATGGAAGGGACAGAAAAAGTTATCAAGATAAAGGAAAATACTCTAAAATTGAAGAGAAGAGGAAGATTGAAAGATAAAAAGAAGAAATGGAAAGATGAAAATAATAAGAAAGAAAAGAGAGTAAAATTGAATGGTAAGAGAAGAAAAAAGAAAGAAAGATAAAAATAATAAGATATAAAGAGTGAAGAGGAAAGAAGAAGTTATTGAAAAATTGAAAGATAAGTAAAAAAAAAGATGAAAATAATAAGAGGAAAGTGAAAAGGATAAGAGAGAAAAATTGAAGGCTAAAAGTAGGAAAAAGAAAGATAAAAATAATAATATAGAAAGAATAAGTGAGAGAAAAATTGAAGTATAAGAAAGATGAAAGTAATAATAAGAATAAAAAGGAAAGAAATAAAAAGAAAAAAGAAAAATTGAATGGTAGGAGAAGAAAAAAGAAAGATAAAAATAATAAGATATAAAGAATTAAGTTGAAAAGAAAAGTTATAGAAACGATTAAAAAGGAAGATGGTAATAAGAACAAAGAAAGAATAGAAAGAAAAAGATAAGAGAGAAAAATTGAAGAAGAAAATAGAAAGAATAAAAATAATAAGATAAAAAAAGAAAGATGAAAGAAAAGAAAAAAAGAGAGATAAAAATAATAAGATATAAAGGATTAAGTAGAAAGGAAAAGTTAGAGAAATGAATAAAAAAGAAAGATAGAAAGAAAGGGAAAAGGATGAGAGAGAAAAACTGAAGAATAAAAGAAGAAAAAAGAAAGATAAAAATAATAATATAGAAACAATAAGTGAGAGAAAAAGTGAAGGATAAGATAGAAAAAGAAAGATGAAAGTAATAAGAAGATGAAAGAAATAAAGAAAGAAATAAGAGGAAAATGAGAGAAAAATTGAAGGATAAGATAAAAAAGATGAAAATAAGAAAGAAAAGGAAAGGAAAAATGAAAGAAAACTGGAGGATAAGGGAAGAAAAAAGAAAAAAATAATAAAAAAGGAAAAGTGAGATAAAACTGGAAGACAAAAAAGATTAAAATAGTAAAAAACAGAAAGAAAGGAAAAGTGAAAAAAAAAAAGCAAGATGAAACTAAATTCAAAGAAAGCATTAAACAAAATGCAAAAGGAAACAATAAAATATGTAGAGTTAGAAATAAAGTAATACAAAAATAGTCAAAGAAGAGTATGGAATTGTTAAAATAGTAAGTGAAGGGTATAGAATGGGATGATGAAGATGGACATGGTGAAAGAAAATGCACAGTTCAAGCAAAGGTCAGGGTGGGCCAGTTTGAGTGCATGCAGGCAAAGGAGAAGGGATCACATATGCAGGGCCAGTATACACAGAAATAAAAAAAAAATGTGTACGAAAAAGGAAACAAATTAAATTAACAATTATTCATTTTTCACTTTTTCCCCTCTAGTTTATTTTAATGTGCTTAGTGATTACTTTGAAGCATGTGGACCAGACACTACTGTGGGGCATGATGAGAAACTTGCCCAAGGTTTGTACAGCTGTTGTTGATGTTTGCACTTGTGTAGCTATCTTTGATTAATCCTTTTCTATTCCAATTTATTTCTGTTTTCAGACATTAAAAATATTTGCTTCCCCCCCCCACACATGGAGGAAGATTACTGGAACTCTCTAAATGTAAGAGTTAAGAAAAGAATGTTATATTAGTGAGTTTATTCAAAACTGCAAATCCTACATACATCATAAGAGATTTAAGCAGAATTTATATGTTAAAGAATTAATCATTTGACAATAATATGAATTTAAACTTTTATAGTGCTGGTAATATATTCAATGTTCAGAACACTGAAGCATACTATTGATATTATAAAAACCTAAATTTATTGTTATTAAATGATTAATTCTTTAATATTTAAATCTATTGTTTAATGTTTTGGTTAAGAAGAGGAGATAATTTCAAGCCTGTTGTAAAGTGGTTTATGAAATTAACTCCACTTTTAATTTCACTTTGAATTGTTCCTAAAATTTAAATTGGTTTTCAATGATTGTAACAAATTGAATATAAAGTGACATTATAACAAACAATAAATAGCAGAAAGAAATTGATAAATGATTTTCTTACAGTTAATCCTGTTATTCAAATAGATATCAATTTCTCTAAATATACAAGAGTTATATAAATAGGTAATTTTTAAAAGCAATATAAAACAAAATTATCCATCCTTATATATATCCGAATGTAATGAGAACAAAAATAATATATAAATTCTAACATTCACAGCATTAATTCAAAAGAGGGATCAATATATATATATATATATATATATATATATATATAGATAGATAGATAGATAGATAGATAGATAAATAGATAGATAGAAGTACAACCAAATACACTGAAACAAAGTTACATTTCTGTCAAGAGTAAAAATTGTTTTTGTCTATACAAAAAATTCTAATATATACATATATATATATATATATATATATATATATATATATATATATCTCAAAAGAAAAATAAATACATCATTAAAATTCAGTAATAATTTATTTCAGACAGACAACTTCATCAAAACAGGAATTATAAAATGGTTTAAATCATCCAATCAAAAATAAACAAAATAATTTGTCTGGATAATTTGATGAGGCAGATGAGGCAGTGGTCTGTCTGAAATAAATTATTACCGAACTCTTTAATGTTGTATTGAGCTTTTCTTTTGAAGTATATCATATTGCTCTGTATTTTGATACAATGAGCTCTCTTCATGGATCTATCTTTTTAATATTTTATATTAAAAAGACCTATTTGCATTATCCTTACCACTTATATATATACACATATATATATGTAATTTTTATATATATTATTTATATATTTAGTGTATTGGGGCAGCAAATCATTATTTAAACATATAATATTAAATATAATAGACAATGAATATCTTACGTCTGATCATAAGCCTTTCTAATGTTCGAATGTTTACTTTAATTTCTGGTGAAAATAAAGACAAAAATTGTCCAACATTTGGACATTTTTTTATTAAGTTAATCCGAAGCTTTTGTTTCACATGAGCCATCCTCAGAGTAGTTATACAGACATGAAACAAAGATATCCACCATCAAAGATGATATTTTGTTATTTTGATGTAGAAAATTGCTAAGTGATGATAATGGTTGTAGAATCACAGACATATATATATATATATATATATATATATATATATATATATATATATATATATACTAGACTACCATAAACTAGTTGGATTTCTTTTAAAAGGGGTTCATGATACAAACAGTATTATCAATTTTATCATTAATTATGCCTATTTTAATTTGTAATACAAGTTATTGTCATAATTATTATTACTCCCATTACACAATATTATTTAGATCAAATGCACTAATAAATCAATTATGATCATATTTTTATTACACATACTTGTTTCTTCCTCACATTTATTTCAAAATACATAACAGTAGTAAACCAGTGTGCATCTATTTATTTATTTACCATCAAGTCATGTGACACAACTTTCCAGCCATACAGATTACGTCTTACAATGGCACACCCACATAATGTCTTCACCTATCAAGTACTTGCCAAACATCCGAGATACTTGTATATAAAAAAATTCTAATGTAGTGTAGTGAATTATATGAATATATGTCTTGTTATGTATCTTTAAATACATTTAATAATGTTATAGTGTGTTATGAATGTTCATTATTTTTCACACACATAATAGTTGAAATATAATATGCAAATGTTTGTTTATATGTGTGGATTGATATAAAAATGGGTATTGAAAACAAATACTGAATTTCCTATTAAAAATGACATAATAGAAATAGCCTTAGCTCAAGAACTACTTGTCTGATTTGAATGATATTTAACACTGCACTTGGCAACAGTTCAAAGTACAATATGTTACAAAATTAGTTGTGGTATTATGTATCATTTAAGCTCTATCTATGGAACATACATACATACATACATACTAGTGTTTTATATATATATATATATATATATATATATATATATATATATATATATATATAGATAAATCAAGTATGGATAGGAATCCGAGAAATGATAGGATAAAGAACAAGTAGGAAACAGATCTTAATCTCTGAAGAAGCTGTAATAAAGTGAAACATGTTAGATTGATATCTGTTTCTTATTTGTACTTTATCATATATATATATATATATATATATATATATATATATATATATGTATGTATGTATATGTAGTATTAATTTGAAAGACTGTTTTTTGAAGTCAAAATTGTTGGTTTTTCAGTGGTTTGCTGATAGGGAAGTGCTTAGGGTAAACAGACTTTGTGGGAGAGTACTCAATATCGGAGTTAGAGATAGAGCGTTAATAGAATTAATATGAAAAAGTTTTTTCCCTTAACTCATGCTTACTTTGAAGTTTCATGTGACTACTTGTCAAAGTGCAGCTGGACTGCTCTATGTGAACACAAAACAATGAAGTAAGCATGAGTTAAGTGAAAAAAACTTTTCATATTACTTATATATATATATAGCAGTAGAGTCCTGCATTGCCGTCTTTTGTAACAGTGAGATAGATCAAGTATCGACCATCATAAAGACTGAAAAATGAAATTGACAAAGATTATTGTTTAAGGTTGACGGACATGCATGTCTTAATTAGTTTTTTTTTTTTTATGAATTGGTCAAACCCAAACTCAAACAAAAACATTTTCAATCGTTGAGTCTACCGATTGAATAGAATTTTATTATAAACAATTGCTTTGTAAATGGAATTTTTAAAGCATTCTGAATATAAAAATAAAGAAAAAAGTGTGCAAGACAATAAGAAACACTACCTGCCAAAAAAAAAAGTGAAGTTTTGTTGAAATCGGTTGAAAAATGTAGGAAATCCGATCCCATATATAAAGGAACACACACACACACACAAACAACCTGGGTTTTATAATAAGTATAACTCGATATGAGTTGTCCCCCTTTCATTCTCGTGACAGCAATGCCTCTTAATTGTGTTTTCAAATTAATTTCATGCAAAAACAATTGTGTTTTTCCAATTTTTGGTGCTGTCAGAACCACTGCAAAGTCATTTTACATAGTCCTGTGAAGTTTTGTTGAAATTGGTTGAAAAATGTAGGAAATCCGATCCAATATATAAACAAACAGACACACACACACACAACCTGGGTTTTATAATAAGTATGATGTATATAACACTGTAAAGGGAAGTACAAAAGCAAATCCATGATTTTGATTATAGTAGTAGAGACTTGTGCAGCAACACTTTTTGGGAGAACTGAATACATAGTTTGCCATAAGTCTCCAAATGACTCTCCTCAGGTTTTGAATTAAAAGTTGTGCTTCTCTTAGACAGGTCATCACCCAAGGCTATAGGATCCAGTCTGCCCTGCTATTTACCCATAGCTGGGTAGAGAATAGATGTTCATAACTTTTTCCAAAGGTATTTGCATATAAGTGAATGTAACAAACTTGAATGGAATTCAAATGTGACTCTCTGATTCCTCAATCCAAGATGTTATCCATTACTCCACTATGCCTCCATCTCTCTCTCTCTCTCTATATATATATATATATATAGAGAGAGAGAGAGAGAGAGAGACAGAAAGAGACAGAGATAAATAGGTATTTTTTATTTATTTATTAAGTTTTACCCTTTAAAAGGCCTGCGGGCCACTCAAAGTTACGTTAAGGGGTAGTTTATATGGATAGAAGGGGAAGATAATGGTTGAATCTAGACTTTAACAGGTTAAGATTGTAGTGATTGGGGAAACAGCCTCTTGGAAGTCTGTTTCACAGAGCAGTGGTTAGCAGGAAGAAGCTGTGTGGAACTTACTTCTCACCGAGGGAATGAGAGTGGTTTGCTACTATGCAAATGGCATGGTAGGTCCTATCCGTGAAGGTCAGACCTGGTGGAACCAGGAGATGCAGTTCATTTGAGCACTTTCAATGGTAGTAGTGTTAGAGCAGTGAGAGAATCACCACATCATACCTGTGAAAGAGAGTTTGGTGTGTGTAAAATAATTCAGTGAGGACTTGGAGACACTTTTGAACTCTATCAAGACTGGAAAGTGAGGACTGGGCAACTCCCACCCAAATATGGCAACAGTACTCCATTTTTGACCTGATCTGACTCTTATAAAGGTAGAGGATAGCATGAGGAGTCAGGTACTTACTAGAGTGGTACATGGAGCTGATTATTTTATCTGCATCTTTACTAATAGTTTGTATATAGGAATTCCACATGTGGTTGAGTGTGAGTTTGAGGTGCAATATACCCTCAAGGTATACTCACAAATTACCTTCTAATGTAGCTCTCTACCTTGAGTTGTTCCCAGGCCTTATAAAAGAAGAACCTAACTGTAAAAAAAAAAAAAAAAATGAACATATGTGTATGGGTAAATAAATATATATATATATATATATATATATATACATAAAGAGAGAGAG